GTGGGGCGTCAGACAGCGGACTGGCTTATTCTGTCGTCTGAATTTCTCTAGCAGATAGAGAGCTGCCTGTAGCAATAAATCACTCAAGTCGGGTCATTCACTGTTTCGCTGAGCTTTTCGAAAGCAAAAAAAATCTCTTTCTTCTGCATTAACGCCCAGCAATGATTTACTGTGCGTCAAGAACAGAAAGCTGTCTGTATTAATAAAGTATAAAGTCTAATGCCCTTTATATGTTGATTGCTTCTTTCGTTGTTTTGGACGTCTATGCAAAAACATGAACTTGTGAAGAACTAATCCCAGCCATTGGATTGGACAAGAAATACTTATGTTACTAACTGTGGAACATTTTTTTTCCTTTTTGTAATACATTTTCTGCTACTCCATTACTCGACACTCATAGCACTTGAAAAGAGCTTATTGCAAGATTGACAAGCAAATGATTTTTCTCCTGCGTATTCTTGCATCACTGCAACAAATGCAACACTTTTTACCATCAGTGATGGTTTCAGTCTCAAACAAGAGACTCCTTAAATTTGTAGGACTGCAATCAATTGCGAAAGACATAACCTGAATAAGCGATATGATCAGGGCTCATTAATTCGCTTCAGTGATAGACGAAAATCAATTTTGTTGTAAAAGATAGGTGAAGACAGTTTTTGTTGAACTGCTGGAAACTGCCATTTGACCTCGTAAGATAGCGAAACACAATTGAACTTTGATTGAAGAATCATAACAAGAAATGGGATGACATGATATTAGTGATAAAAGATAGTTAAATGATGAATTAGGTTGTTGAGGGAAAAATGAAAGACAAGAAAATGACAGTTTTTAAAAATATGGACTGAAATAGAAATAGACATTTTATCGTTTTTGCGTCAGATATGTAAGAAAGATTATATAGATCACCTCAGATACATCTACCACATCTGTGCAGAATCATATACCTGGCTTCTTCTTATTAGCAGAAATAAAGTTTACAGTATGGATTAAGAACCTCAAGAGATGATCTCAATCGATTCAGTCAGAGGAGAAAACAGTACTTTAGCTGCTCTTTACATTGACCTGAAACTCGCTATGTTCTCGGGAATTATTAATGAATCGCTGCCATTCTTCTCTTTCTGTGCGGTTTTGGCAAAGCATATTATATATATAATATTCTAGTATTATTTGCCGTTGTATATATAGTATTTTGGCATTAAGAAAATTGAAATAAATATTAAGATTTCTTGTGACATGCTGCAACATTATATAGACATACATGGAATGAAAATTCAGACATTTGGTGGGATCATTCAAAGGACAAACGTACAGTCGAACAGCATTTCATGATTCAGTTTAGTCATCCCAACTTCATGTCTTTTTGATCAGTTGCTAATTAGCAAACACAACAATTGACGGAGAAAACTGGCACAATAACTATTTAATATTCAGCCATTTTTTTTTTCTTTTTTGTTGAAATGTGCTAAACGTTATTTCAAACAATTGATCGTTTACAGTTCATACCAAATTTCAGCTTAATCAGTCTGACCTCACGTTTGCACCCAACAATTATTTGGTGTAGATAATAGCAAGTACTTAAGGTATGTTTTCCTGACTAAAATTTTGCAGTGTTCTCTCAGTGCCTCAGTAAACGTAAAGTAAATTCATTGTGTTCCAATATATGTTAGTACCGTGGAATATACAGTCAACTTCAAATTTACGCACCAAAAAAAGACTAAACTTTGCAATGTACACATTCGAAATCGTGAACGTGAAAAATTACGTGGTTATTACAAAGGAAGAAGGATTCGCACTGCAAGTGTCCGACTTTTTATTGTTGCGAAAGAATAACGTTTTTTTCTCGTAGAGAAGGATCAAAAATGATCAAATCACTTTTGGTCGTCTAGCAGTACGTGAAATAAAAATGTGTGATTGTTTACTTAATATTTTGTGGAGTGCCGTTACCAAATAATTGTGAAAAGTTCTGATTTGTATTTGAGCACATTATTACACATTTTCTGTACTCAGTGATTATGATTAATTTTGTTAATTTGTTCAATAAACCGTTAAAGAATGGATTTTTTAATGTTCAATTACTTATATGACATATTTCATTGATTTTTCACTGAAGTTATGACTGAAAATATTTTATCTGTGAAATATAGTTTGGGTTCGCAAGCATTATTTTGCAGTAATGAGTGCGAGTTGTATACAGCTAGTCTTAACTACAGTCCTGCTGTTATTTTGACTAGTTCGCGCGAACTGCAGTTATATCAGAGAACTATAGTTATTGTAATGTGAGATATTGTGTAGAGAAAAGTGCTTTTTAGTTACGGAAGCTCAAGTTTTAGACGTTTGAAGGACATTTTTTCTTTATGGGTTAGTTTATAATTCAATTATTCGTAATGACGATTATATGGAAGAAGCAAGGAGTTTGTGCTTCATGCTTGGTTGTGAACGTTAAAAATAATGCCATGTTCTTATTTATTCCTGGCCATCAATTTTACTTTCAGGTACCAAAATTGGGTAAAAATGTTAATATTGGTTTGGATGGATTTTATTCCGATGCCAAGACAGTATTTGATAAAATTGTTTTTCGGAAGAATCTATATGAATTAAAGGAAAATCGAAAAATAAAACCAGAGGTAGAAGTAAAAGATGAATTTAACGACTACAAGGACGTTTGTAACAAGGTTGATGCTGTTTTTAGTCAGAAAACCATTAGAATATAAAAATTTTTAAACGGCTCGATTTGCATACTTTTCATTTTTGTACCAATAAGATTCATTGCAGGAATTTCTCTAGCAGATGGAAAGCTGCCCGTAGCAACAAATCACTCACGTCGGTTCATTTACTGTTTTCCCTAAGCTTTTTCGCAAGCAAAGAAGATCCCTTTCCTGTGCATTAACGCCTAGCAATGATTTATTGTGCGTCAAGAAGGGAAAGCTGTCTATATTAAACAGTCATCTTTATTAAGAGGATTATTGTAAGGCCAGCCAGGATGAAGTAGGCTCTAGTATAAAATCTGATGCTCATAGACTTTTTATATGTTGATTACTCTTTCGTCGTTTTGGAGGTCTAAGCAAAAACATGAATTTGTGAAGAACTGATCACCAGCGTTTGAATTGTGCAACATGGTGTTAGTGAAAAAAGTTATATGATGGATTAGGTTGATGCGTGAAAATAAAAAATGGCAGTTTTTGAAAATATCGACCGTGATGGAAATAGATTATTTATCGTTTTTTCGTCAGATATGTGAGAGAGATTATTTATCATTTTTTATTCAGCAGTGAAGAACTGTTCAAATCTTCATGCAACTAGACATGTTAAAAGAATAAGCAGATATGTTCTTCAATTTTCGAAAATACAATTAGCGATTATAGTTATTATTTATTTCTTTTATTTTTTATTTTCTGCAAATCTATGCAAATTGAAAAAGTCCGTTAAAAAATAGAAAATTATTGTATTAGTTATAGCAAAGTTGGTAAAAAATAATCACTTATATTCACATCAAAATAAATATCACTTTTGTCGCTAATGATAACAATTTTATTTGATTGACAATATTTATTATGCATTTTAAATGTAAATCTGAAGTTAAATTAATTATTAATTACATTAGCTTCAATATTTTCGCATCATGAGAATGATATAAAAATTTTAAAGGATTTTGATCAAAAATACTTGAGTAACAGTTTTACTAAGTTTTTTATCAGAAAATAAATAAAAGTAAAATAAGTTGCTGAATAACTTGAAAGATTAAAAAATATCTCTTAATCAAAAATCTCTTTCTTCAAAGTCATTAATAATGAATTATCTTTGCAGCGAGTGGATTAAATAAAGATCTCGAAGTAATTATAAAACACAATGCAAGATCAAAAATTAAAAAATATGTAGCATATGGAACTATTGACTACTTTACAATGTTTTAAAATCTGTAAGACAAGTTTTTAGCATTGTTAAAGTATTATGGGAGTCATATAAATACATATGTAGAACACACCAGAAGCTATTTATCAATCGCATGCAACCAAATTCAGAAGTCAGAAGTACCAACGTTATCTCAAATGTTAGAACCTGTTTTGAATGGAAGATTGGCACATTTTCAAAACACTTTTTCAAACAAATTTTGCAGAAACTGCGAAGAATCAATGTTTGCTCGAAGTTGTCCTAATTCTTACATAAAAAGTGGATCCCATCTATTTTGATATGCACAGCATAAAGGATTTGCAACAAACAATTATTAGCAAAACGACGTGCAAAATGCATACAATCACATCAAATCTAAAACAATATTCGCACTGACGAAACGATTGGATGTGAGTTCCTATTCTGATGCTTGGAAAGTCCTTGCGAACTGCAAATTCATCCCAACAAGGACGCTAATATTACTTATATTCGTAGTACCTGCGCTTTTTCAGTTTTTCAAAAGCCCAAAGCATTTTAAACTGTGCCATATTTGAATGTTTTCTAACCTATATGTGTACGTTTGTG